AAAAAAAATAAATAAATAAAATAAAATAAAATCTCAACTATCTTAAGTTCCTATGTAACATATGCATCTTAGTTCTCAAGTTGGAGCTATATGAAAACATCATGATGCACATGTTACATACATACACTGTCAATTACATCTCAATAACACTGGGAGGAAAAAAAGAAAGCAATGGTATTTTCATGATAATAATGAGTATTTCTATAGTAAGGAGTGACATTCAACATATTCAACATATTTAACAACTGATTTGGTTGTACAAAGTAATGTAGAAATAAAAAATTACCACCATCCGCTTGTTTTCCTTCTATTCATTATGCTCTCAGACCAGTCCTTCAGAGACTGCCATTCCCGAAAGTGGCCACACGAGGGCGACTTTAATGAGCTGTGCCTGCTGGGAGTTGGCAGCCATAGCTCCAGAGCTGTGTCCTCTCCGGCCAGGGAGTCCTGCTAGGATGAGGGCCAGCAGGGAGGATCAACAGAGGGCAGGCAAGGCACCTCACTGAGAAGGTGGCATTCAAGCAAAGATTTGAAGGAAATGGGAGCATGAACTATGCAGATCACTTGGGGAATTTTCCAAGGCAGAGAGCCTCTAGTATAAATGCTAGGACAGAAGAGTCTCATGTTCTAGGAACAGGAAGGAGGCCACTGTGGCTGGAACAGAGGTGACATAAGACAGCAGTAAGAGGCCTGAGGGCCATTATAAGTAATTTGGCTTTTATTCTAAATGAGAAGGGAAGCTGATAACCGGTTCTGAGCAAAGGAGGGACCTGAGAGGATTGTAAAACATGTTTAAATGGCTGCAATATGAGATTTAGAACAGACTGAAGGGGGATACGGACAGAAGCGGGGAAACCAGCGAGGAGGCTATGAAGGGTATCTAGTGAGGAGGAGATGGGCCTATGGCCAAGGGTGGCAAGTCTTTGTAAGTTCCATTCCCCACATTCAACAAAGTGCATGCTTAAAAGCATGAGATTAGATGTTATCACCACGCAAGGGAGTGAAGATGGAAGACAAGGAGGGATGAGAAACCAGCCAAGGCCTGAGCAGGAGCGGCCCACCCTCCCCACAACAGGTCACTGCCAACCTGAACTCAAAAGTCTGTCGTTCTCATGAATGTCTTCATACTTTCACTCAAGAGGATATACCTCTAGGCAATATATAGAAGTGTTTTTGCACGCTCTTCAACTTTTTATATGGTATCATACTCGATGTATTTTCCCCAGTGGTCTTTTTCCCCACACAACCAATATTTGTAAACTGTACCCACGTTAATACACGCTGCTCCAGGTCATTCATTATTCAGTGCTATCTGGAATTCTTTTGGGTGAACATGCCACACTTGAGCCATGTTCCTGCAGAGGGACACAGAGCTTATTCCCCTTTTTCTGCTATTATAAACACCGGTATGAGCATTCTCACATGGGCCTCCTCAGGTGGGCTCTCAGGTGAGACCTCTAGGCAGTGGTTCTCAAACTATGTCAGAGTCACCCAGAAGCCTTAATAAAACAGATTTCTGAGCTCCATGTCCAGGGTTTGTGAACTATAGATCTAAGGTGGGGCCCAAGAATTGGCATTTCTAACAAATCCCCCCATGATGCCATTGCCATTGGTCCCAAGACCACACTGAGAAAACACAGCACTGAGGCCCATGCCAGGAGTGCACATGACGGTCAGAGATATGCAGGGACACCTTCCGCTTCCCCAGGCTTCACCCAACTGCTCTGCAAAGTGGGTGAACCAATTTACCTTTCCACCAGCATAGGTACGTGTGTCCCTGCTGCCAACACTTGGTGCTGTCACGTTTTTTTATTTAATCTGATTTTTAATCATTTTTTAAACTTATCATGGCATTTATAATTTTATCTACTCAACACATGTAAATAAAAGCAACTTAAGACTTTACATCCTAAGGCTAATCAGAACATTGCCAAGCTTTTGTTTATAGATAGTCCCCTCAGGTTCTGTCATCGGCCCAGCCGCCCGCTTGTTTTTCCCATCGATCCTAGAAAGAGACAAATGGTTTGGACAAAATCATTAAGATCGTGATGAAAGAAAAGTGGAAGCTTGCTCCTTTTCATGGCCAACTGCACTGTAGTTGTATTTATTGTCATTTGTTTGTTTGTCTACTCAATAAGGTGAAGGGAGAGAGGAAAATCGGGCATATGGGGAGAGAAACGGAAACTGCCCTCACCAACATACCTGATCACTTTTGGAGGGCAATAAAGAAATCATAGTGAGGGAAGGGTTCCTTCCATTTTGTACCAGGTTAACAAGGAGACAAGAAGCTGGGTACTCACGGATCTGGTTGGTGGATGCACTGTAGAAGGCATTGACGGTCGTTGGATTCGTGAACCACCTGTAGAAAGAGAAGCAAATACCACCAGGCAATCATCATTATCCAGGCAGGAGGGCAGCAAGAACGAACACAATGTGGCGGGATTTATTAGCAAATAACCAGGGAACAATGGGGAAGCAGGGTACGTAGGCAAATTATCACCTCAGTTTAGGGTTATTGCTCCATTCAATGAACAATCTCATCCTAAACTGAACAGAGTTCAATGAGAATATATTAACATGCCTGGCTATTCACTGTTACTAACTTTATGGAAAAAGTCAGCACCAGTGCTTCTGAAATAGGTTTAAGGAGAAATTCTAGAATCTAAAGGGCTCTCCCTAGAGATGGAAACAGCAACAAGCTCATGTTCGGCAGGCCCTGTTCAACGGGTCCATGGGACAGCTAAGTTTGTAAGATGCATCACCTCTGAACTGTCCATTAGAGGTTTTAGACTGATGACAGTGCAGAGGCCCACACAAAGAGACATGACTAAAGTGTGACTATGCTACCTCCAGAGGGTCTGCCTGCTCCAGTCGCAAGTTCACGGATTTATTTTTTTTAAGATTTTATTTATTTCTTTGAGAGACAGAAAGCGAGAGAGATCAGAGGGAGAGGGAGAAGCAGACTCGTCGCTGACTGAGAGGTGAGCCCGATGCGGGGCTCCATCCCAGGACCCCAGGATCATGACCTAAGCCGAAGGCAGACGCTTAACTGACTGAGCCACCCAGGTGCCCCGGAGTTCACAGATTTAAGCACCAAAAGATCTAATGGCTCATCCTGCCCCTCTCACTAAGTAGCTGGGTTGTGTTGCAATAGCTGCCCACCTTCCCGGGCTATGGTTTTAGCTATAAAATTAAGGTACTGCATTAAGAGATCGTGGGAGTATCTTCCAGCTATAAAGAGTCTACATTCCATTTGAAATGCATAGATTACTTAGATCAGGGCTTGGCAAATTTTTTTCTGTCAAGAGTCAGATGGTAAACATTTAGGCATTTTGCAGGCAAAGAGGCAAGAATCAGAGATGTTATGTAGGTTCTTCTGGAGTAAGAGCAAAGCTTCCACAAAATGTTACTGATGAAATTAAAAATGTACTAACTGAGTACAACTTTTTTTAAGACAGTCCGTTAATGAGAAGAATGGAATTCTTTTGAGGCAGAATAACATTTTTGCTTAATTGGGATTCAAGGTTAGTGCTTATCTCAAATCGACTGCAAATATTTCTTTCTCAAAATCACTCTGCGCTCACGGGCCCTACAAAAATAGGCATCAGGCAAGATTTAGCCCACAGTGCTGCAGTGCTGACCCCTAATTTAGATACCTGTGAGTTTCCACCCTTTATGATGAAAACCAAGTTGTCTTAAGCTAAATTGTTTAAAATAAACTCGTATAAATCCCTTTTCGGAACAATCATTTTAATAGTTTACACCTAATAGAAGAATTATGACAAGCTAATAATTTATGTCAGACTAATACAAAATTAGTAGGAAATCCAAGTGTTGACTCTAGTTAATCCGCACATACCTTCTCCCTCTAAAGAAGTCTACGAATAGGTCCTTCTGTTACTATTATTAGTAGTCATAGCAGTGGCAGCGAACATTCACTGAGCACTCATGATGCCCTAAGCACGCCCTATTCCTCGGGTTTTCTTCCCCACAGCAACTATAGGAATTACTAGCCTATCTCACAGACAAGGACAGTGAGACTTAACAAGCATTATATACCTGCCCAAGGTCTGGTCTAACTTCAAACCAGTTCTTTCTTTTTTTTTTTTCCAAACCAGTTCTCTTAAGCATTACATCATGCTGGAGACATTCCTAGCAATCAAGAAAACGAGTGCCTTTTCTAGTCAAAACTGAAACCTATACTCCTTTCCATAAAATGCGTATTCTTTTCCTTCGGATTTAGGAATAGTATTTCAGTAAGCCCTAATGTTTAGCAAACAAACCTGCTGACTGGTCTACTTTCTTGAGGAAACAAGTGGAAGCAAAAGCCCCTTTATTGTCATAATGTCACTCCCTGGAGTAGGTAGAATTAGGGTGCCCCAAAAGATGTTCATGTCCTAATCCCTGGATCCTGTGAATAGGTTACATTACATCCCCAAAAGGACTCTGCAAATGAAATTAAGGTTAAAGCTTAAAACAAGGAGATTATCCTGGATATCCAGGTGGGCCCAATCTCATCACTAGTCCTTAAAAGCAGAGACCCTTCTGTGGCTGGAACCCCAGAGATGCAGTGGAGGAAATCAGATTCCAAGAGTCAAAAGGATCTGTCATGCTGTTGCTGGCTGAGATGTAGGGACCACGGTGCAAGGACCAGAGAGAAGCCTCGAGAAGGGAATGGTGGCTCCCAACTGACAGCCAGCAAGGAAGTAGGGATGGCAGTTCTAAAACTACCAGGTAGTGGAGCTGCCAACACCTCAATGAGCCTGGAACAGGATTCTTCCCAGAGCCTCCAGCTATGAGCCCAGCCAGCTGACACCTTGACTCCAGCCTTATGAAACCTGGATCTGAAGAACCAGCTAAGCCATCCTGTACTTCTGACCTCCAGAACTGTGAGATAATACATTTGTGTTTTGAGTTGCTAACGCTGTGGTAATTTGTTACAGCAGCAACAGAAAATTAACACATTACCCAAAGAACCCAGCATTTCTATGCCTGAAGTTTGAGTCAAGAGGGGAGAATCCAGGTGCCTCTCAACTTGGCTTCTAAATGATATTGGGCTGAAGCATACTATGTACCAAAGATGATGTGTATTCTTAGAGCTCATCCCTTCTCTTCCCCTCCCTCCCAACTCCCCCCTCCCTTTAGCAAAGAATGAACTTGCAAAACATGAGGATAAGGGTCCCTGCAGGAAAAATGTTTCTAACTCCTGATGGACAAAGGTGGACAAAACAAAGAAATCAATCGGATGGGGCCCGATCGGGCCTCTGAAGCTTCAGCAAGAGTACCTAAAACATCTTATTTCAAACACATGATCTCACCTATCCTGACTTCCCAGCGCTCTTGCTGTCTCTAAGGTATGTCTGGAGCCTTGATTATACCCAGAATGGATATTAAGTTGCTGCCCCAGTAGATCCTACCACTTGTGGGTGCTATTATTTCTTCTTATTGGTCAGTGCCCATGCCACACCAGCCATTAAATATTTTGTCTATCTCCCTGATTATATCCAAGTTTATTGTATATTTAGTTTTGCTATTCTCTAACATAAGGCTACCTACCCTGGTTTTAATACGTGTTTGCAATTTTTTTCACACTCCTCCCGTTAAGAAGTGGAGTCTAAATTCCTCTTCTCTGGATTATGGGCCTTGGTGACTTGGTTCTACAACATAAAATGCAATGGAAATGACACCACGGGCCTTCCCAAGCTAGGCAATTAAAGGCAGTACAACCCCCCCCTGGTGTACAAACATGCTCCCTTCCGCCTCTCTTTCTCAGGAACTTGCTCTTTGACGCTTCTTGCTCAATCAGCATGCTGTAAAGAAGCCTAGTACACAAAGCCATAGGAGACATTCCAGCCAACAGCCATCATCAGCCACTGGACATGAGAGAAGAAGCCTCCCCCACGACTCCAGCCCCAGCCACTCTCTAACTACAATTACATGAAAGACCGGAAGCAACAGACACCCAGCTGAGCCCAGTGACTGCCAGAGCCGAGAGAGAGAGAGAGAGAGAGAGAGAGAGAGAAATGAGTAATTCTTGTTGTTTTAAGCCTCTAAAAAATCTTAGAGTGGTTTGTACACAGCAGTAGATAAATGAAACACTGAAAAGTTGGTTGTCCATAGATTAAGTTGTAACCACTGGGTTGATTTTTCCCATAAAAATGTTTCATTTGCCCAACATGATGGCTTTTAAAAGGACTGAATTGGAATTCCTTTAAATGAGGTGTAGAATGACTAGTTCTCCACAGTCCCCACCACCCCCTGGCATTTATACTTGTCTAGGTCACCATTTGTTAACTGATTGAGCCCTGAAAGCATGAGTTCACACAACTTATCTCCCAACAAGATTTTAAGCTCCTTATGGGCTAAGACTATTGTCCAAGTGGCATGCGCTGAGCAGATCATTACATCTATGTAAATGACTGTATTGCTATATATACATCTACTTGAATAAACAAAGAGTGTCATTCAAGTGCTTCAAATTCTTCTTACCATGACCTTAGGGTGTTCCTGTGGTCTGTGTTTGGGGAAGGATTTACTGGACAAGGTATGAAGAGGTCTCATATAAATTTCAGAAGAAAAATATATGGGGATAAAATTATACTGGACAATGGAATACACAAAAGGAGTGTAATAGTAATAATGAAATACAATTGTCTAAAGACAAAGACACTGGTACCCCGATTTCTATGGACCATATAAAAGAGATATACATCAGGCTAAAGTTTTACATTTTACCTATCAACTCTTAAAGATAGTTGCAGGAATATGGAATGACAAAACCATAGAATATTTATTGCTTTATTTCTAATATCCTATAGATTATATCCTTCCCATTCCATGCTACAGATAATGCTTTTGCAAACAAAAATTATGGGCAAAACCATAATTTGTGTAGACATCTGATGTATTTTTACATATTTTTTTAAGATTTATTTATTTTTATTTATTTTAGAGAAAGAGAGAGAGAGAGCAGGGGGGAGGGGCAGAGGGAGAGAGAACCCTGAAGCAGACTCCCTGCTGAGCACGGAGTCCAATGCAGGGCTCCATCCCAGGATCCTGAGATCATGACCTGAGCCAAAATCAAGAGGCAGCCACTTAACCAGCTCCACCCAAGTGCCCCATATTTTTTTACATATTTTTGAAAAGATAGAAAAAGAAGATCCAGGGGCGCTGGGTAGCTCAGTCGTTAGGCATCTGCCTTTGGCTCAGGTCATGATCCCAGGGTCCTGGGATCAAGCCCCGCATTGGGCTCCTTGCTCCACAGGGAGCCTGCTTCTCCCTCTCCCACTCTCCTTGCTTGTGTTCCCTCTCTCACTGTGTCTCTCTCTGTCAAAAAATAGGTAAAATCTTTAAAAAAAA